TTTTATCCTTTTTTTACTGTTTCTATCTTTTTTAAAAAAAGTTATAAGTACATACATAATACACCTACTTTTTTTTTTTGGTACTTCCTCAGCCCCTTCTTAGATGACAGTGGAATTTACAAAGATCATCTTTATTTCCTTTATACAGCTGCAGAGAATTTCACTATGTGTACACACCAAAGTTTATTCAACTAGATTACTCTGATGAACCTTTGGGCTAACTCTAATTTTAATACATCAAAACTTTACATTGGTACTTGATAAAGGTATAGCTTTAAATAATTTCCCACATTGCTAATAACATTTATAAAATCCTAATCTCAAGTGGGCCTGCCTGCTATCATTACCCAAAACTGCATGTAATCAAGTCCAGATGTTTTCCCAGTGGAGAAGAGAGCTGGCATAGAGCCAGCCCAGAGTGAGGAAGCTCTCTGTGTAGTGAACCAGAAAGAGTTTTAATATGCACCAAGTGAAAGGGGCAGAATAAGGTGTATTACATAGTATTTTTATCTAAATATATTCCTATATGTAGTGTATTCTACATTCATCCATTGCTTCTTCTCACTCACCCTTCATCATATCCACTCTGGCTTTCTGCTCTTACCACCTAATGCCACTAAGACAAGACACTTTCTTCGATTTTCTCCTAACTTACCTCCAGCAACACCTGACAACAATCCCTTGCTTTCCTTGGGACACTCTCTTCCTAAGCTTCAGTGACCTCATTACTTGCTCTTTTAATTCATAGAGTTCCTTAGGGTTTAGTTCCTGGTGACCAACTTTTCTCTCTTTATTTTTTTTCCACTAGCTAGCTTCAATTACAAACTTATACTCTAGGCAAGAATACTCTATTTGCCACACACACTTCCAGATTATCTACTCAAAACAGCAACTCAGATGCTTTAATGACACCTCAAAGTTAATATGCCTAGAACCAGATTCATGATCACTTCGTCCAACCTGTTTAATCCCTGGATTCTGTAAATGGCACTATTCTCAATCAAATCCTCAAGAAGCAGCTTCTTGTTCCCATCATCTCATCAACTACCAAGACTTTTTTATTTGACCATATAATATATTCCAAATCCATCCACTTCTTATTTCTACTGCTACCATTCTATTATGCATCTTGCCTTTGATGGTACCAAACTCTCTCCAATTTACTCCTTCAGTACATCTATACTTGACCTCCCTATGGATTCATTCTTCTCTACCTGACTGCCTGAAATGTTTCTGCCCCTACCACCTAACATCAATAAGACTTCAATGTGGCTCAATATTCAATCCTAGCCTTTTTCTTCCTCTTACTGTAACCTAAGCTTTCTCCCTAGTCTATCTTAACCTCACTCATTGTTTTAATTATCCTATATGGATGAGGTTCTTGCAAATTTACATTTCATACTCAGTCCTGACATCTCCAGTCGGATAACTGGGCCAACTAAAGACAACTGAATTTAATTAATTCCAAACCAAATTCATACTATCTCCCATACTTGATCTCCTTCCAGTGAATAGTATTTTGTTCTTTCCAGAATGAGCCACCAACTAAGCAAGTATCCCTAACAATTCCATCTCCTTTATTTTCCTTATCAAATCAATCTCTCAGTCCTGTTTTTACTTTCCAGATATCTTTGGAATTGGTTTGCTTCTTTCTATGTCCATCAGAACTAACCTAGTCTTAGTCATTTCTGCATTTACTATAAAGCTGAAAGTCCACTCTGGCCAGCCACTATTTTAGAAAATAGGGAAGTGGGAATGGATGAAAGAGGCAATTCTGCATAAGGGAGCTAAAAATGCAAAGAAAGAGACAGATTGTAAATAAATATGTACTATTATGCAGTGATAAGCATGCTGAGGGGAAGAAACCTGTGGGACATGAGGAAATGAGTCATGTATGCATGAGGTCATCAGGAAAAAGAATGGGTATCAGACAGGAAAAGTAAGTGCAAAATCCCAGAGGTGAGAGCCAGGGTGATTAGAGTTCTTGCATAAAGGGAAGAGAAGAAGTAGATGAAGGTCAAGAGGCTAGACCATTATAGGTCTCTAAAGGCCACAATAAAGATTCTTGATTGGACTCCACGGGATGGAAGCCTCTAAAGGTTTTGAGCATGCAGAAATATGACATAATTTACTTTTTAAAAAGATCCCTTTGATAGCTACAAAGGAAAGATAAGTTGATGGCAGCAGGGGGAGGTACAGGGCCCATGTATGGGTCTTTGTTGGAGGGCAGGGGGACAGCAACAGCACTAATTCATACATATTAAACAGGGCTGCAGAGCACTGTGACTCCACTGAAACTGTATAAGAAGTTGCTTTTTAAAACCATTGCATACCACTTTGGTAGGGCTGCTGCTAATCTGTTTAGCAGCTTGTGCAAATCAGGAAAAGATGCTTTTCCTTCAGGCAGATGCTGCCCAGGCAAACCTCACTAGAGCATAGCAGGTAACACTTGAGGTGACCACCCTGTATTTCAGTCCATCTTAGATGCTTCTTGCTTTTCGAGGACAAAAGAAGAGGAAACAATGGGAAGAAAATATTATCTTTCACTGCATGGAATCTAATATTTTTACATTTGGGTAGGAACCAAAGTTATGAGCTTTACAAACAAGTTTAACTCCATTATTCTTAGTACAACTATTCTAGAAAAGCACAACCTCAAAAGATTATGCTTTTGGTTCATATTCTAAGCAAGAGACCCAAATCAGAGATGCAGACCCTTTGAGCCATATCCTCCTGTCTTTTAACTTAAACTTAGAAAGCCAGGGATGACACAGTTGTTTTCTCATAAGTTTTTGGTTTTTTTTTTTTTTTTGTGGGGGGGGGGGGTGTTCCTATTTATTAACAGTTCTGAATTGAAAAGTAACTTTGTAAAAGTGCATTCTGAGGCTACTGGAGGTTCTAGAGAATCCTGGTCTCAGAGCATGAGCTTTTCTGTAACTGGTTTTTCAAGGGTTAGGATTTTGGTTCTGGCTGAAAGTGAATTATAACAGTAGGTACTTCTAAGAACATCCAGGTCCTTCAACTGTGCTCTTGGGGAGTGAGCTCCTTTTGGGAAGGGCTGTTCAGAGGACTCTGATCTTTCAAACCAGAGTCAGGTCTCATATAATAGCCAGACTGATGCCTCCTAACTCTAAAGTTTCCCGGCTCTCTTTTTATGTTGGGGTGGTTTCTGGCAATTTCCAAAGAATTAATTTCTCCAAAATGAGGGTTAAAAGATAGACAACTGGGGTTTTCATCTCAAAAATTGTCACCTTAACTGAGAAGAGAACTCCCCCAGCATAGGCACTGTTGTACCAAGGCAGTCTGTCCCATGCTCTTCCCTAGGCTGGGACATGGGAGGCTGTCTCTGACATAGCCTCCTATGTGTCTCCTCTCTATGTTCTCAGGCTCCCTAAGTCAGTTGGAAGCTGCTCTGTGGAGGGTGAACCTGTGCAGCTCCAGGAAACTCACAACTCTTCAGCCCTTCCCAGGCTCTCCAATTCTCAGACCAAATCCTGTTACAGGGCCGGGGCTCAGCAGGATCTGTTTCCACTGCTGTCTTCTGCAGTTTCTTCTACTTTTCTTGCTTGAACTGACCTTTCTCCAGACCTTCCCTGACACCACTTCCTATGCCTCCACAAGCTCAAATCCCCAGCCTTTCTTGGATGACAGCCACCTCTTCTGTTTCTCTCCTCTGATAATTTAACCTCAGATTTGGTCACAAAGTCCTTTCTCGCTTAACCATCTCTCAAATGTTTGTTTCCTAGGATTCTGTTTTCTGTTCTGTTCCTTTACCTGGTCAACTCAAGGTGGTAATTACCCCTTTGAACTGAGGGTTCCTGCCCTCTACTTGGAGCGCCAACCAGTCTGTCTCCCTTACATAACTGCCCATCTGTAACCTCTACCCATGTATGTTACATCTTAAATAAAAACCATTCCACACTGAATTCCTCAGACTCCCTTATCAAGCTGACTCCTCCTCCACTCCCTGATCCTCACAGCAGGTGCCTCTAGTCCAGGCCCACTGGCTTCCTGCCTGGATTCCCATGAATTCTGTGAGGCTTCCAACCTCTAGTTTTGCCTCACTTCAATAATGCCTCCTAAGTGACCATTCTTATTAACTTCCAGTCAAGATACCTTCGAGAACATATTCTCTTTGTGAAAATTAAAACATTACATGGAAACAAAGTCCCCTTTTATTAGATTCATTCCAAGAGTAACTGCTGTTACCAGTTTAGGTGTGTCCTTGTAATTTTTGTGTGTTTTCTGAACCTTCCTCTCAGTGCTTATTTGCATATTTCACAAACACTTAATATTCTTTAAATATAAATATTAACATATGGTGATATTTTATAACTTGATGTGCCTTGCAGCTCCATCCACATTAGGGTGTTCTTTCTTTCTAAACTGTGACAACGTTTGCCAGAGTAGGGACACATCATTTTTTCTTTAGCCATTCCTTTATTAAGGAACATTTGTTTCTGATTCAGACCAATTTTTCTAAAATATCAGGGATAAAAAAATTCTTCTGCTTAAATTCCTCAAATATTTCTGGTCATCCATGGAACAGTTCAAATCTCTTAGAACTGTACCAAAGCACTTAGAGTGTGGCCCTTAGACAGCCTCCCATCTCATTGTCTTCCTTATCTCTTTCATACCTGCAGCTTCAGCTAGAATGAATTATTTATATTCCCTTAAATTACACTGCTTGTTGAATGAATACATAAAATGCAGCCCTTTTCAGAAATAACAGGAAAGAATAAAAAGAGCTCTAGAGAGATTCATTTTGTGAAGTGATTATGCACAAAAAAGCAGAAGCAGGTGTCTAGGAACCTGGGCTTTCCCTTCCTCATCAACTTCTTGAGGCCTGAGAACCCTAAAGGAAGTTTCCCAACTAACACACTCCAAGCTGCACCTTCTTCTGAACCAGACTGACACCTGCAGCAATTCCTCTCTGTGCTTATTTGCATATTTCACAAACACATAATATTCTTTAAACATAAATAGTGCCACCCACTCACCAAGAGAGGTGCTTCCAGAATTTTCTTTCTCTACCTTCTAGGGATCTTCTCCCTCCTGTAACAGGGAGATCACCTTTGGTTTGATAAATGGGAGTCCTCCTAATAGAAAATAATTAAAATTTAAAAAACATAGAAGGAAGGTGATGGTTACCAAGACCACCTCCTCCATTCCTATACACAGGGTAATTCCATGCCTGTAAGGAGAACATGTTCTCAATATTTATTTACAAAGATATGATTTGTATAATCATAAGGCAAACCTCAACTTTTTTGATGGCCATCAGCTTTTATTCAGGGAAGCAGGTGCTGAAGTCTAATTTCTGAACTGTGTCCAGAGGGGATTTCCTTACCCAGTGAGGCCAGGTTACTATAGTTCTCCAGCATCACCTCCCGATACAAGTTTCTCTGGGAAGGATCCAGCTTTTTCCACTCATCCCGAGTAAAGAGCACAGCCACATCCTTGAACGTCAGATACCTGTAAGAACAAGCTACTCCAGCTCACCCAGGACCAGCCCTCACATTCATGTAGATGGAGGAAATGGAGGAGGACAGGCTATCATGAAATCCTGTTGATACTATTTAAGGTTCTCAAGATGCCAGGTCTTTCAATTAATGAATATTCATCCAGTGATAAAAACCCACCCAACAGAAAGAATTATGAATGTAGCTGCTATATCTTGGGATCTTGAGCGACCCCCAAAGGCCCAGGTGTTAAAGGCTTGGTTCCCAGCCCAAGATGCTATTGGGAGATGGTGGAAACTTTAAGAGCTGTGGCCTAGTGAAAGGAAGTTAAGCCAATAGGGTGAGCTCTTGTAGGGGATTTGGGACCTTGGCCCCTTCTTGTCTCTCTATGTTCCAGCAGACATGATGTGAGCAGCTTCCTCTGCTATGCACTTCTGGTCATGAAGTAATGTTCTACCACAGGCCCAAAATGACAGGCTTAAGTAACCATGGGCTGAACCTCTGAAACCATGAGCCTAAATAAACATTTCCTCCTTACAAGCTTATTACCTTGGTATTTTGTAATATCAATGGAAAGCTGACTAACACACTGGCCTTGTGTTAACCACTACAAAAGATGCGTAAAGGGATTAAGGCCATTAGTGGGAGTGTTAATTAGAACGATCTGACAGATTTGATAATACGTATTACAAAGCCTGGGAATGTTTATATTCTTAACTTACCAATGATTGTATTTGTACTATAATGAACAGTACACAAAATTGCACATACAAGAAAACTTATCATGGTGTTTACAGTAGCAAAAAATGGAAAAAACCTAAACATTCATTGATGAAGACTAATGGTTGCTGGTCCCCACCGACACACTCCCATCCTGGACCAGAGGGAATCGTCACATTTCCCGCCTTTGATTCTTTTTTATTATTATTTTTTTTAAATTTTTTATTGTTGGTTGTTCAAAACATTACATAGTTCTTGATATATCATATTTCACACTTTGATTCAAGTGGGTTATGAACTCCCATTTTTTACCCCGTATACAAATTGCAGAATCACATCAGTTACACATCCATTGATTTACATATTGCCATACTAGGGTCTGTTGTATTCTGCTGCCTTTCCTATCCTCTACTATCCCCCCTCCCCTCCCCCCCCCTCCCCCCCCCTCTCCTCTCTCTCTCCCCCCCCTACTGTAATTCACTTCTCCCCCTTGTATTTTTTTCTCTTTCCCATCACTTCCTCTTATATGTAATTTTGTATAACCCTGAGGGTCTCCTTCCATTTCCATGCAATTTCCCTTCCCTCTCCCTTTCCCTCCCACCTCTCATCCCTGTTTAATGTTAATCTTCTTCGCATGCTCTTCATCCCTACTCTGTTCTTAGTTACTCTCCTTATATCAAAGAAGACATTTGGCATTTGTTTTTTAGGGATTGGCTAGCTTCACTTAGCATAATCTGCTTTAGTGCCATCCATTTTCCTGCAAATTCCATGATTTTGTCATTTTTTAGTGCTATGTAGTACTCCATTGTGTATAAATGCCACATTTTTTTTTATCCATTCATCTATTGAAGGGCATCTGGGTTGGTTCCACAGTCTAGCTATTGTGAATTGTGCTGCTATGAACATCGATGTGGCAGTATCCCTGTAGTACGCTCTTTTAAGGTCTTCAGGGAATAGTCCGAGAAGGGCAATAGCTGGGTCAAATGGTTGTTCCATTCCCAGCTTTCCCAGGAATCTCCATACTGCTTTCCAAATTGGCCACACCAATTTGCAGTCCCACCAGCAATGTATAAGAGTACCCTTTTCCCCACATCCTCGCCAGCACTTGTTGTTGTTTGACTTCATAAAGGCTGCCAATCTTACTGGAGTGAGATGGTATCCTAGGGTGGTTTTGATTTGCATTTCTCTGACTGCTAGAGATGGTGAGCATTTTTTCATGTACTTG